GTAAAATGTGTTAAACGTTTAAACAACTTCTAAATAACCAAGAGGTCAAGGTCAAGCTTTGAAGCATGGTGTCTGAATTGATGAACTTGACCAACTCTGAAGGTCACATAAGTAAAGTAATTTTATTTTTTCAACAAAGATCCATAATGTGAAGTGTATGATAATTAGCCTATAGTTAAACTGTTTTGACCTTTAAACGCTTTGAAAGTCAGATGTGAGGGGTATATATTTGGTGAGCAATATTTGCCAATTGAGCCTGTTGTTCTGACCTGGATTTACTTCTCCCTTTCTGAAAGCAAAGAGTTGTATGCAAAATATCCTTCTTGGGAGTGTTGTCTTGAGTTCTCACGAGTCTGACCCAGTCCTATAACTGGCAACTGCCTTGTATCAGATAGATTAATAGAATCTTCCCCTATCTTCAAGATGTGACAGAGAAATCTTCAATCTGAAGGGTGATCATCCGGAGGGTTAGACAACCAAATACTAACCCTGAGGGTTGGAGATTTCCCTAGTCACACCTTCTAGGTAGGAGGTTGGCTTTTTTTTCCCATCCTATTATTTCGGTCACAACTCGATGGACAGTAGTCATATTTGTATAGAAAACCATATAAGGTGTTTGCCATTCACCTTTTTATGACGTCATGATCACGATCATCATTCTCTTATGACGTTGCAATTTAGCTTGCACTATCATGCATGAGGCTATCTCCCCCTAGGTAGTGACAAGTTGATTTATCTCGGCTAAAACGGTCGACACACCTATGAAGGGTGGGAGAAAATTCATGTTTTTGAGTAAGATTAATGTTGGGACTATCAATAATGAAATCGACTGTTTAACTTATCCGATATTATATCTATCACTGAACCTGTGCTACATATGTAAATAGCTTGAATTCTTTTGCCTGTTACAATTATATTTGAGTCGCCTTAAAGTTCTATATGCCTCTTGTTCTGAAACTTTAGATTTATAAACTGATATATGCATAGGAAAGCATTGAAAAAGGAGGCCAGTTTTAAGAACTTGTCAATTTCAGATTTAAGTTATAAAGCAAGACAAAACCAAGAAAAAATGTTTCAATGATGAAATCAAAATTCCTTTACTGTTCAGTTAAACCTTCTTCCTTTTGCTAATTCTCTTAGTGTTTGAAAGTCTCTTTTCCTTTTTTCCTAAGAATTTCTTTAAATATTTACCTGATTAGAAAAATCTAACACATGAGAATTTTGAATGTAGACAGTATTAAATATAAATATAAACTTCCTTTATTTTACAACAATTATAAATCAAATTATCACAACTTATATTAATCACTCTTGTTGGCCGGCATGTTAATACGCAGGAGGTCTAAATGTGGGAGGAAACCGGAGTACCCGGAGAAAACCTACATGGCCGGGCAAGTGACCCCATACCTTTTCACCTCTGAATGGGGAATCAAACCCTGGCCACCCTGGTGAAAGGCGATTGTGTTATCCACTGGGCCAACCAACCACCCCATAGACAGTATAACAAGGTTTTACTGTATAAAATAATAAAGTCAGAAACAATGTGTATACATAAACATGGTTTATTTGCTGTAGAAAAATATAAGACTCCAGACTGGAAGCAGCTGGCATAAAAACAACAATGGACGGAAAAAATGAGACTAAAAGACATTTCTACACCTACATTAAGAGTTTTCATAAAATATAAAATTACATATAATAATATAAAATGTATTTTATTGTACATTCCTTGTCGACCCAATCGTTAAAATTTAAAATACAAGTACCGGTATACCCCTCGAGCTTATTGTTGTAGTTTGAAGTTGGGAATTCCTACTGTTATATGATCATGTGAAATTTTGGTATGCGATCAACTGTACTTGTGTCTAAGGTCCATGTTAAGTCTTCATTTCAACATGAAAAAACAAATCACTAACTGTCTAGTAACTATAAAATAGACCATAAAATTAGGATGATAGACAAGAAATTAAAAGTTAAAAATTATAATAATTACATCAAAATTCTTTTTTTTTTTGTGGATTGTGTTTTCAAAATACTTATTTTAATATGCACAAAGACAATTCTAATAACTAACTTCTGATAATTAAGTGCAATAAGATTTAGTATTAAAACAAGTTTTGATTCATGTTCTCGTGTCCTACTATCTCACCTCAAGCCTCTTACCATGCACATATGACTTGACATGAACCTTATTCATTAATTAAATAGTTAGTCAGAATATGTGCTATCAGTTTCAAACCATAATGGAATTATGTTAAGTATTGATAAAGGTACAATACAGTTAGTAATCATTTTATTTTTTAAAGTTTCAACGAGTACAAAAGTCCAGTCAAATTTTTATTTAAAATGATAATAATTCGGCAAGTACACTGTATCTTCAACTGAAAGGGCAGTTAAGTTTAAAACTTGTGTTCTGGAAGGACAATCAAGTCGTGCAGTTTAAAGGTAACACTCAAATGAACAATTAAAGACACAATAATTATTACTTTTTAAGCTTTGTAAAGTTGCCTTTTAAGGTTGTAACTTCCTTTTAATAATCTAAGGTAGCAGCATACAGTAGAAATGGCCCGACTCTGAAAAACAAGGCACATGTCGAGGAAATGTAAACACAGCGGATTTACCCTACACAACACATATATACATGTATATATATTTGTAAACTGCATTACATTTACAATACATATAAAGTACTGAGAAGTGTATAAACCTCTTTTTTCTATGTATGTCACTTGTGTGAAAACCATGGTTACCACATCAAAAATCACCAAAAATTACCAAAAAATGCTATTTTTGACCTAAAATTTAACCCCCGCAACTAGTAATTTTTTTCCTCAGTTCTGTCTGAAATTAAAGATTACCTTCTTGGTTGCAGAATTATCTTGGTCCCAGTAAAATTGTAAAACTTGATTTTTTGCAATTTTCCGTCGTGTGCTGTTGTCAAAATGTTACCTCCTGTAAAGCTAGCTTTGCATGTGTAAGCACCCTTTCGGATTATGGCCAAAATTTTGGTCTCAAACCAAAATTTTTATTTTTTTATTTTACAAATATGAAGCTCACATAGCCTACTTCATCATGCTTATACCAATTTTAGTACAGTTTTATTTTTATAATTTTTTTACATATCATTATACAGGGGTTAGCCATTTAACAAAAATATCACCCATGGCCACAACCCTCTACTGTACACTGCTACCTAACTTTTGTTATACATGTACAAAAAAATGTACTTGTAGAAGTACTGTTAAAACCAAAAATTAATTTCAAATGCATATTACATTTTCAAATTCTTTGAAGCTTGTTTATCCAGTTATTTTAAATAAGATAAAAGTAAATGAGTAGGATATTAGTTTGAGATATAATGTATTATGATATAGGTTTCAATTTTCAGAGAAATGGAGTTTAACTAAGCTCAATTTGGGGCCTGCACGATTCATTGTTTCTAACATAAGTATCAAAAATAATTAACAGTATACCTACAAGAGATTCATTAACGTTTGATTTGAAACAGTACATGATCAACCTACCAGAAAATTAATTTTCACAAAAATTTATACAGTGTATTCATATGCTTTTCGAAAAAAAAGCATCAAAATAATTATTACAAAATGTACTATGTCTTACTGGTGAAATAGCACTAAGATAAACATATACTGTATACTGGAAAATTTTTGCTCAGTCAAACTTTAATTCTCCCTTCCCCTAAGGAATAATTTTTTGCCCAGGGTTAATTTTGTTACCATAATGCAAATTATGTTGTTTACTTATATTGGCTATAATTATAAATTCGTCTTTATTGAGGCAAAAAATTAACTGCAGCGTAAAATTTTCATGGTATACATTGAAATGATAAGAAACACTCCAAAGTTACTGGACAACGGTAATTAAATCTCGTGTCATACAGGTAATTCTTATTGCAATTGTACATGATTCATTATTTAACCCTTTCACCACTGTAGACTGCAATGGACTCATCCATATCAATGCATGACAGAGTCTACGAAAGTTACATAGGGGTGAAAGGGTTAACATCAAGAATTGAAAAAATATGACATTTATCATTGTTAGTTTCAAAAACAACTAGAGGAAGTGTCATGGCTTATAAACCTCTTTACCTGTCTAGATAGATAGATCCTTACACAATCTGCATAACTATTAATCAGACAACTCTTACAGGTCCCTGCGGATAAATTTGTTTTGTAGATTCAGGAATCTGTTTAATCTGACCTGCTGTGTATTGTGGACATTCAGATAGAAAATCTGATCCCATGGTGTTCAGGACAGGTTTACCGTAATTGATCTAAGTTATGTAAACAAACTGACTTTAATCATAAAACAAAACATTTGACACTTATTCAAAAGCACTAATTAGGCAACTGTCAAATAAAAAAATATAAGGAAAGAGGCTCCATATAAGGAAATAGATGTCGCTAGTGTCAAATGTGCAATTCTATATTCAGCAAACTTCACAGTATGTTCGTTCCCCTAGACACAAGCGTTACCCAACGCAAGTGTCAACTACTGTATTCCAGCTTGTGCATTTTAGCAATCTCACATGGCAAGATTACATTGTAACTTACAACTGCTGAATACTGGGAATATTTATTCAAAATTCAGACTGTATTAAGATATTGAGCCTGTTTTGTCTGCATAAATCCAATACCATACTTTAATTTGTCATACTGCAAACCTTTCAATCAAAGGAAAGTAAAATGACTATTTTAACTGAATGCATTAGCTAGATACTAAAGTTTGGAAAGACTGTCACATCTATTGTTACACATAATAATAATAATTCGAGGTTCTTATATACCGCATTATCACAACCTAGTTCTTAGGTCGTCTCAAAGCGATTCACAAATTATTATCCGTGGTTATAGGGCCTTTGCAACCAGCCAACATTTTTCTCAACTCCCTGGGGAGCAAACAGCCGGTGCTGCCATTTCGGCACTCACAACTAGTATTCAACAATTCTATCACTGCCCAACCACATACTCATTTACACAGCTGAGTAGACTGGAACAAGCCGAGTAAAGTATCTTGCTCAAAGGTACAACAGAGTGCTGTGCCGTGACTCAAACCAGTGCCAGGCGTCCTAACGCTGGACTACGGTGCCTCCACATAAATATATGTATTTGAAAAATCTCCGACTCACCTACAGAAACTTAATTCAGCCCTTAGTATGATACATTTGCATTTATATATACTGTTTGGGATCTTGATATATAAAACCATAGCGGAGTGGTCTACCTATTGAGTTAATTACATTGTATTGCCAGGTGCAACCAATGGTGGTTGTTTAACACAGGGACCTGGGAATTTGTTCCAGAAGCTATTGTTTGAGTTCAGAGAAATATTTAACATTTTCTAGGCTTAAATCTAATTTCAGTTAAAATGCAAGCTCCGAATGATAGTTTAGATGCATCTAATATTTCTTTGAACACAGCATTTAATGTCGAAAAACAGCTTCTGTAACAAGTTGTTTGGTCCCTCTGGTTTGGTAGAGGTTTGAGTATAAGCTATTGACGACCAAGTAAAAAGGTATGGAAACTGAAGGACACTTTTTGACAGTATTTTGATTTTATAGAAACTGGAAGAAAATGGGATGATATATGACTTACAACTATATTTAATCTAAAAAAATCTACATGTACAGGATAAGTTACATATTTACAATAAAAAAAATATCACAGATTACAAAATTTACCCATTGAATTTACAATATCTTCAGAGATGTATAACAGTTCATGTTTTGTAAAAATATTTCGAAAAGCAAAATGAGACTTCATCAACAAAATCATCAATTATCCCTTGATTTAAATGTAAAATAAAGCAGATGTTATAAATACAATATATACATGTAATTAATTACAAGATTGGGAAATAAAGGCATCAATAACGTTCATACTTTGTTACACAAATGCCCTGGTTTTTCATTTTTTTCATAAAAATGTGGAACCATGATTTTGAGAATCTATTAAAAAGTATATACATTATTGATTATATTTGCCATCTGCAGCTTAGGTTATAAAATGAAAATGTTTTTATTCAATAAATGCAGGCACAGTAGCATAAATAAGCTGTTCCCCAACAATGATGGTTGGTTATCATATTGAGCTTTTAACCTGAGTTAGTTCAATGTAGAATTTTCAAAACGATGTTTCCCTCGATGGGTTGTTCTATTTTGTTTTATCTTTTTGATTTTGCAAACTAACCACACTACAGATAAAATATGAGTTTGGGAACCTTTTCTCCCATAACAATGCTTAAAATGTCCAAAAATTCTATTTATACAGAAGGACATTTTTCAACCCTGAAAAATTTCAATTAGAATAATTGTGCAAAACACTGTGCCCTCTTCTGTGAGGTAAAAGTTGATAAAGGGATTTTGACCTGTATACTAGTCAATGAAAATGCCCTCATTTTGTTTGACCCACACTACAAATGTTTTTAACCCAATAATGCTACACAGGTATAGTGAAGAAACCTGTATAAGCTACAGGAAAACAGAGATATATCATTATTTATCAGTTTAAATGGAGTAAGACAGGCACTTGAATGAATTTGTTTATGTCTGGGGTTAGGTTTACAACCCAACAATATAATATATGTGTCACATGAGCACTGATAGCTACCATTCATGGGAATGACATGAAATGTCCATACCGTCATATAGTATAAACGTTTCCCCTTTTTCGTGTTTTTCTTGTGGGTTAAAATGATATACAATCTATAAAACACTACTAGGTCAATTAATGTTTTGATATGCTTACTAATGAGTTAAAACCTTACAAATTCTATCATGACTAAAATTTCGCTTTGGATCTCACATTTGACTATATATATTTTTTTCAATATTAAAATGTTATGAAATAAAAGTATAAGAACATGTCACATATGAAATTGAGTTAAAAGGAATTAATTTATTACAGCCTATCACAAAATGTCCTCATCATCATAGTAATCCTGTTTAGGTTTTGCTATTTTTTTCAATAATTTCTTCTTCTTCTTTTTCCTGCCTCCACCTTCCTGAGGTGCGTCAAGGGGAGGTAACTGTGACGGCTTGATAGGCTGAGCCTGTAGGTAGTCGGAGTTGACCTGCCTAGCCTCCATGAAGTCCTCATCGTATTGTTGACGAGACTCTCGCACCTCTCCGATGGGGTCCGGACGTGAATACGATGGATAACTAGGTTCCTCTTCATCCTCATGGAATCGTTCTACATACTTGGGCTTTGACTTTCCTCTGGAAAACAAAGATACCAATTTGAATAATGAAACCAAGAAAATAATACTTTAATCTATATCCTTGAAACAAGCTGTGAAATAGAAAGATTCAAATTTTATAATCTCAGAGTCATTAGTGATGCTGCATGTTTTCTAATTTAATTGTGTTATCTGCAATGAAGTTTTGAATAGGAAACACTAAGTAACACTTAATTGGCTTTTAACAGTGACCTTGAACTTTGACAAAGGTAGCTAACCATTATATACAACCACCGGTATGATAACTGGTATACATAGATCTACAGGTATGGTAACTGTTTTATCAAGTTATCTATTATAATAACAAAGCTAATACTTGAACAAAGAAATGTCATGTGAATGGATGTTTTTGGATAGGCATTGGTGAACTTATATGTCAAAACATTTCCATGCAGTAAAAAATAATATTGCAGTGTCATCAAAAAAAGGACAATAAGGACCAAGAAATACCACACTAAATGGAAAGGCATGCTGAATTCTCACAAAAAAAGGACAATATATATACATGAGTGGTCAAAGTTTCTTCAGTAGCCTAAGCCTTTACGAATTTGTTTGAACTTTGACCCATTTTTGAAAATTTTGTGATTGCTCGACAACCTTGTGCATAGTACAACACACAGTGCATTCAACACACCATCTAGTGTTAAAACTTCTATATGAAGCAAATTTTCTTTGGAGTTCAAAATATGATGTTGACAATCAAAAAGTGCTTTTGATCTGGTAGCTTATGATACAGGCCTATCCAGAAATATTTCATAAAAAGTAACATTTTCTTTGAGGAACTCATAGTCTGGACAAAGGAAAGTGAACAGGTCTTCTTCAACTCATTCATCCCCGAAGACACATTTGAACTCTTCTAACTCAAAGGTTGGAATAGTTCATTATGACATTTCAGGGGTGAATGAGTTAAACATTATTATGTTTATAAGACATGCATTGTATTAAATAATGTCTAATATAAATGCTTTACACAGAGACCAATACAAAGCGAGTCTGTCGACTGTATGTATAAAGACACACCGGGTCAGATGATGTAGACTAAGATCACGTCACACACTGGGTTATAAGTGACAGATATATATTTCATAATTCAAATACATTCCATGGAGTCATGGTCATGTTTTATGAACATGGGGCATTAATGTTGGGATATTAACAATAACATAAAAAGACTTTTCAACCAGGCAATTAAGTCAGCAGTAGATATATATTATGGCCAATATGACCACTGACCTTTAGCCTTGACCCAACTGGACACTAGATAACTTACCTGTTGGTGTGTTGCTGTTGGGTGGAGGGTTAATTTATTACACCAAATACATGCTCGGTCAATAAATATTATAAATCTATCCCATAAGCATTGAATGTTCCTATGGCAACAACTTATAAAAGCCTAATTAATACCATATAATGGGTTATTAACATGAGCTTTCATTTTCGCAATTTTGATACAAAATTAGATTTTTTTAATTTACACTCATTTTTAATCTCACATCATTCTCTTCATCATATTTTTGCAATCAAATTATTGACCCACGAAATTGCAAAAAATTCCATCCCTGTAGAAATATCTAGCTATATATATATGGTATTAATTAACTCATTCACCCCTGAAATTTCATAATGAACTATTCCAACCTTTGAATTGGAAGAGCTCAAATGTATCTTCAGGGGTGAATGAGTTTATGGTAGGGATTTGGGGGTAATTAGCAACATATATAGGTTATAATTTGCAGAGCACAAAAACATACTATTGAAAAAGCACAAAACAATGTCAAAACTTGAAAACAAGCTAAAAGATGCTGGAGTCAACAATTAGTTGCCCCAGTTGTGATGTAGCATACAACTGTGAATGGTACAGTGCACTAAAATGTATATTCCTATATATCCCTTTATGAATCATAAAAAAAACAAATATTGAAGCAATAAGTGCAATATCACTAACAGTATTTTAATACTGCAAAGTGATGGTTTACAACATTATAGGTTACAAAATTAGATTAATTCAAAGGATATCTGAGCTACGTATCAATTATACAGGTACAAAGATATAAATGGACACAACAACTCTTATTTTCTGAAATAGGAACATTTTAAGCTTCAGACAGCTAGGTGTCACTTGATTTCTTGATTTGAACTTTGACCTCAATTGTAACCTTGACCTCGGGTAAGGGTCCTAAAACTGGCTGAACACACACTGCCTGGTGGTCGTTGATATTTCATTAAAAATATTCTACGATAAAGAGGTTTATCTCCAGACAAGAAACCTTTAATTGAACTTTTGACCTAAATTTGCGATCATGACCTTACAAGTGAGGGTCATGAACAAAAAATTACCCATGATGCAGGCCTGGCACATCTCTTACTTGGGTTAATTATAATTAAGACAAACAGACAGTAAAGATGGACATTCAAGAAGATAAAGATATTTAAGCTATCTCTAATCTTATTCTTCAGAGTAATATTCCCATTGCTTATCTTCTACTTATTGTTATAAATGTCATTATATTAACACTATGAAGCTTACAGAAGCTTGTTTTGTCACTACACATATAACCAATAACTGTGATTCTTTATTTTAGATAGCAGTTTCATCTAACAGAGTACTGCGAAATCATTTTTTATTTTTTTTATTTTTTATTTCGTTGATTTCATGTGTTATTTTCATCCATAAAATTCATAGGTCAAGTAATTACAAGCTTGATGTAAAGCAATCCTCCCTTTAAGTGGGTACTTGCAATCCACTAATTCATGTACATGTATCTGCGAAATGGTGTCTTGTTGGGAAACTTATTAACGACGTGTGTGGCCCCCACAAAAATATCTGATTTCAGCGTAAGTATATCTTTGTCAGATCAACCTGTTATTTCGGGGGAAACCTCAAAAGTTATTAGATATTTTCCATTAAACAATATGTCAGTGTAGCAGAATGTTTTGGGTCAAATTCCCTTTCCTTTTTGGGTAATTTTAATTTTTCGGTCAGAAGGATAATTGATTTGAACCACTCAGATGTATTCATCAAAGTACTGATTTTATTTCTGCTGAATTTTCATGATTCTGAATATATAAATGTGATAAATATTGCCAAATTGTTTTAAAAGCTAATATCTGTTTTATTAATTCAATAAGAAAGGTGGTTTTAATTTTATTTTGATGTAACTTCATTCGATTTTCATTTCAATGCGGCAATTCAACTTTTATTTAAATATCAAACATTTAAAATTTGAGCTACAAATGTAGGCAGCAGTATACGTTCCAGCAATCTTATAATTGAGAATAAAAACTATGTTCCAAGACCGACCGAAACATTCAGAAAAAAGGCAAAGTCTAATGATGATAATAGTAATCCTCGAAAACAACTGTTTGAATCATTTCCATTGGTCAGAGACTTATTGGCATTTTTAAGAGTGATAAATCTATGCTTGTTATTGTTTGTTATAATTTCTTGTGATGGGTTTAACAGCCAATTAAAATTAAAGCAGTGGTGTGATATCAATGGTTAAGTTTCAAAGTTTGAAAGTTCGAGCATACCCAACAATCTATTGTTTTCAGTTTGTTTGTACAGTATATATATACTTCCTTACAGGAAGTTGTTCATCAAATTACTGGTGTCCACTTCCTTCAATACTTTTAACTTGAACATGTACGGTATGTAAAGTGTACACATGCTATCACTCCTGATTTTGATGTCAAATTGAGCTAAACACAACATCTAGCTGAAGTCGGTGAAGTAGAAAATATAAGTCACAGTGACCTACTTTCGATACACTTGTGAAGTATTCTTCAAGTTGTATATATAAATATGTATATCTCGGAGCATGCTCGAACTTTAAACTTTTATAACAGTCTACATATCTAATACCGACTATAGCATCTGTTAGTGTCAGAGGTTAGAGGTAAAGTAACATGGGAGATCACTTACTTCTTGGACCGTTGTCGTGGAGTAGGTGGTTGTGACATGGCTTGTATCTCAGCCATAGATTCGCGGCGGGAGAACTCCTTCACTCTCGCCGTCAAATTCACATTAGAACTATTTACACTGCCACTGAAAGTAAAGAAAAGTAAATCATTAAACTTACACCCAACAAGAGTTACCTAGTGAAAAGTATACAGTAAAACTTGTGTTAAAAGACCACCCATAGGATGTCCTAACAATGGTCTCTTAACACAGGTATTCTTTTGGTATATGTATTCTCTGAATACAGGCAGTGTCTTAATACAGATGGTCTCTTAATACAGGTGGTCTCTTTATACAGGAAGTATCTTTATACAGGTGGTCTCATTATACAGGTGGTCTCTTGATAAGGTTTTCTCTATTACAGGTGGTCTCTTAACACAGGTAGTCCATTAATACAGGTGGTCTCTAAACACAGGTGATCTCTTAATACAGGTGGTCTCTTTATACAGGAAGTATCTTTATACAGATGGTCTCTTAATACATGTGGTCTTTTAACACAGGTGATCTCTTAATACAGGGTACTCTCTTTATACAGGTTTAACTCATAAAGAAAATATTATGATCGCAAACATTAAAAGTGGTCTTTTAACACAGGTGTTCTCTGAAAAGAGGTGGTCACAGGAAAAGGGTTTGACTGCGCATTAAAGCAAAACATGTATAGATTTCAAATAGAAGTCATTGTTCTGATATAAGAGCATATTATGAAGAGACAGCTTTAACAAACAGTAATCCAGTTGCAATTATATTGAAACTCATTTCGTATTTAATTGATACTTTTTGACATATTCAGAGAAATATGAGGAAAAAATACAATTTTAATGACAAAATCAAAAAAAATGTTTTCATCAATTTAATTAAAAAGAAAGACATGTTAGAAAATATTTTAAAACATCCACAAAATCACTCACACACTTTGTTTATTTAGAATAGAGATACTTTTGAACACATTACAGTTAACAGGTTTTACATTATTCACTGCTGGACTTACTCTTTATCCCTAGATACCGGTGCTGGCTGCATCTTCTGTGGGTCATAGATTTTGCTCATTATTTTCTTGATGTCCTCTTCCGTCTTTGATGGGAATAATGTCCGTAGCACATTATTCAGGTCCTCTTTCTCAAATCCACCGATACTTATCAAACGCGATATCACCAGCAATTCCTAAAACAATTTCAATAGAATAAAAAAAAATCTCAGACCAAAACTACTTCTCAAACTATATAATCACCAGTAACTTCCAAAACATAGAATGAGATATATCACCAGTATTGCTCTAAAATCAAACCAAAAACTATTTCTAGGATTCTTACAGTGATTTTCTCTGTCAGTCAATATAATCATTAAGTCTCCATGTGTTAGTTTGTGTCAGCAGCTAGCTGCTGAGTTTTTATAGGCCTGTCAAATTTTGATGGCAGTATAATGGTATGGGGTTGTCCGTCGTCCATCCGTCCGGCGTAAACTTTAGTTGTCCGGCAATCTTCTACATTGTTTTGACTGATCTCTTTGAAACTTGGTATACATCATAATCATGATATGAAGTTGTGTCTCCCTCAAAAGAATTTTAATGCGACAATTTTACCAAAAGTTATTGCCCTTTGTTTATTTCAGTATTTGATTTTTGTCCGGCAATCTCCTCCTGCATTTTTCAACGGATCTCTTTGAAACTTGGTATACATTATAATCATAATATGAAGTTGTGTCTCCCATAAAAGAATTGTGATTCAACAATTTTGCAAAAGTTATTGCCCTTTGTTCATGTTCATTTCAGTATTTGATTTTTTGTCCAGAGATTTTCTCCTACATTTTTTATAGCATGTCAGCTAACCACTCTTAGAATGATGCAGATCTTATTTCAATGTAAGAAAGTATATAACACTATATGGCATTCGACGGGCGTATATTGTTCCGCCCCACGCTACTCTTATTTAATGTCAAATCTACTTGGGCAGGTTCTTAAGTCGTGTCCAACACATATAGGTAAGTAGGCTTGTATGGTGGGAAATGTAGATATTATATATATAGGTAGCTTTTATCTAGGTCACATTCGCATATCCCAATCGAAATGGTTCAGGTGGCGAAGAATTATTCTACGGACGATAAATAAACATACTTAGATCGAACTGTAGGCAGAGCTAAAGAATGCAGTTTCGGAGAATACAAATAACATATCAATAATAATATGTTCTTCTTATGTACATCCACTAAATTATATAACTATCTTAAAATTTACATTAAGATTGATCTTGTTTAACAAAGAAATAACACAAACTAGCGACAGTCAGAATTTTAGTTTCGGTCAGGCGCGTCTGGACCCCTGGATATATACTTGTGCAGAATATTCCTGAGGTCAGCCTCGGTTCAGATCTGTGCCTGTCAATTTTCTTTCAGGTTCAACCGTTTCAACTGGTTGAACCGAATACACAAAAGGGGCCATAGTGTTTAAGTAATAAGTAAAAAACTTTTTTATAAAATATGGATTGAAGTATTAAACAAACACAAGTTAAGTGGTTTGAGCAAACATGAAAAAGTGTATGTAATATTAACATTTCAATTAACCTTTTCAACCCTATGTAACTTTAATAGACTCTACCATGCATTGATCTGGATAAGTCCATTATGGTCTACAGTGGTGAAAGACTTAAAGCAAATCTTTTACCTGTTCTTGAATCTTCTGCAGTCGTTCCATCTCAAACAATCTCTGCGTTTCACGGAGTGTTTGTGATATTTCTCTATCCAATCGGTTCCTATCAACCAAAAAATATATTTATAGTTAAGACATCAATTAGATGACAACCAAAATATTTCACTTAATATTACCTGATTTTTTTTTATGGATTCTAATGATTATATAACTTTTCAACATATATAGCATACATATTTCGCTATTTCAAGAAATCAAACAAGCTGATTTTAGAAGACTACTTTGCCTGGCAACTGCTGAGTGATGTGGTCATCATGCTTAATCATATAACTGAGATTGGTTCTCCTTTCATATTTTCAAACATCTTCATGTGAATCTTTCCCTTTTTCATATTTTGTCGAATTTTTATTTATTTGGAATTTTGAAATCAATTACCCGGTACAGATTTTGATGACATTTCAGTATTCTGTTGGAGATTTTAATGAAGAGTTCCCGAAACGAGTCATATTGGTCACTATTGATGATATCTATATTTAATTGACCCATGTCGACCAGTTATCAATAATATTGTTACCTCATCTGTTCCATTTCAATCATCTGTTTATGTAATAACAGAGCTTTCTTGATCTTCGCAGCAACTTTATTTTTTGACTGGCTTAAGATTTCCTGAAGCTCCTTCTCCTGTGTCTCTGCCATGACTTTCTCTCGCTGTTGAAGTCGTTGCTTCAGACGCTTCTTCAAGGCCTGCGAAAGGATATAACAAACACATCAAATGATGTCGCCACACTGCTTGAAATTTTAAATCTTTATGTAGAGACTCTATAATTAGGTCCTTTTTATTACCAGAACCATATCCTCTACAAGGTCAGGGAAACCAAACTTGAATTGCCTTTTCCATCCAACTACCTGATTGTATGAGGTGACAAATGTTTATATATATATATATACATATATATATGATAAAAAAGATTAAAAGTCCATGTGAAGTAGGTAAGTGTAACCAAATAAAATCTACTGACCGACTATAAAAAACAAGCTGTTTTTACCCTTCACAGGGCTCTTCAGTTTTATATTTAAAAAGGACAACATTGCGATGTCTCAATTACATGTTGTCATCACACTACAATGGTAACGTTACGTCACAATGTACACAAGATTGGTGGACAACCCAGCAAAAATGTAGTTATATATAGCCCCCTTTAGGGGTCTTCTTCTGTGTCTCTTGCTTTGGGGTCACTTAGAAGAGGAAAACTGTTGTCCAAATCTTTAGATTTGCATTTTTATTTTCTACGTTTACCTTACAAATTTATCTGTCTCTCTTTGCTACATACTAACTGCTTATTCATTTTTCTACTGTATAGCCTTGTATACCAGTTAAGTTATTGTGTTTTAATTAGGTCATCTAAACTTATAAGATTTTATAAAACTTCAACAGATCTCTTGATTTTTTTTTTTTATTTATATTTGAAAGTATGTCAGTTAATTGATATAGTAAGAACATGTATTAACTCATTCACCCCTGAAGACACATTTGAACTCTTCCAATTCAAAGGTTGGAATAGTTCATTATGAAATTTCAGGGGTGAATGAGTTAAGGAAGTCAGGACATTCCTGACAGCTAGGCTGATATTTACTTTGTTTACCATGTTAATGTCCACTTTCATTTTTAAAAATACTATTCTTTTCTCTAAAGCTGTGTTATCCCCCGATATCCTAATCTACGTCCTACAAGCTTTGCAAGATGACTATGTGATAAACATTGAGTTTAAACTTACACAGATTCCCAGTGTAAGGATACAGGCTTTAATCACCATACCTGAACAATTGGCTATGTTTTTTATGGAGCACAGCAGGTGACACATTTGGATTCCTGTTGTTAATCAAACTAACATACCTTTTCATGTTGCCTCTGTCTATCTGCTAAAGAATGTTGAAGTTTATCTTGCTCCTAAAAATAAATATAGTTTCAGTCATCAAAATTCATTCATTCAGTAGGAATTCTGTAAAACAACTTAAAGTATTAATAAACATTGGTATTTGTATTCAATACATTTTATATGCCTTAAGTAGGTGAATATGATATTAGCCCTGATCTGTTGACCTTGATCTTACACCTAATCCAGTGACCTTAATCATAAATCTGATCAAGTGACTTTGATCTTAACCCTGATCTAGATCCATTGACCTTGATCTTAGCTCTGATTGGGTGACACTAATGACAGTTCTTGAACCTGATCTGGCGACCTTGATCTCACACCTAATCCTTGATTTCAGCCCTGATCTTGTGACCTTGATCATAGCCCTGATCTGGTGACCTTGATCTTTGACCTTATCTGTTTACCTTAATCTTACACCTTATCCTTGATCTCAGCCCTGATCTGTTGACCTTGATCATAGCCATGATCTCGTGACCTTGATCTAGGCCCTGATTTGGAGACCTTTATCCTAATCCCGATCTAGTGACCTTGATATGTGACCTGATATGGTGACCTTGATCTTTATCCTGATCTTGTGACCTTGATATTAGTCCCGGCCCTAGTATCACAAAAGTTCTTCAGAAATAAGCCGGACATGAACATTCTTCCCTTTGAACACTCCACTCAAATGTTTCATAATTCATTCAGCTCGAGGCAAGAGCTGATTTCTTAAAATTTCACTATTTCATTTAATATTTGAGGAAATGTTACCATTAACACAAACCCGATTTACAAAAAAAGAAAATGTAATTTAAGCTAAAAATCTTGTGATACTGAGGCCAGATCAGACGACCTTGACCATTGCCCTGATCAGATGACCTTGACACTGAGTCTCGATGACGCAGCCCACCAAGAAAATGGCCACAATAATAGAAACTTGACATTAAACATCTACTACTTGACCTTAAATTATCCCAAAATCATCTTTGACATTCTCGCTCGGCTAAGTGATCTGTACCTCTTTGTAGCGCTCAATGATTTCCTGACACTCTTGATTGCCTAGGACACCTCGTTCGTTTAGGTCGTCCATAAGGTTCATCTTGAGGTCATTGATGGCCTTCTGCTGATCCTCAATCTTAGATAGTTCATGTGCCTTCGACACCTGCAGTGCTGCAACCATACCACCAAGTCGTTCTTCCTGGTTCTTCAAGGCAAGGGCACGCTGCTTCAACATCTCCACCCGAACCTAGTGTGAAAATTGGCATTTTTTGTTAATAAAGCAGAAAGTTATGATAAGCAATGACAACGTAGCCTGAATATTTAGAAAAATAAATCAATTTTGTTTAGAGTTCAGTTTTTGTGTTTATTTTAATAAGTATGGCACTGTTAATGATTTGGTGCCCTTTTGAAATGATATGATAAGGGGAAAATGATTAAAACTGAACCTCACAAGAGAGATAATTAAAAAAAGCATATAAAAATTAAAATGTTTATGTTAACAAGAGTGGATTCATGTTTACACAACCATATATCTATATCTTTGTAACTGTTTCAGTTCCTGTAAATTCTTCTGATATATATAAGTAGATGTAAAACAGACCAGCTCATATTTTAATTTAATTAAATTATTTATCTAATCTAAAATACCATGCTTGGCACACTTTTCACCATTTTTTTCAGATTTTGGCATAATAAAGTCTGTTTTAAATTATATTGTTGCCATGGGAAAGTATGATTTTCTTACTTAGAGGTTTGGTTTTGTTTTGTTTTGTTTTGTTTAACGTCTTATTAACAGCTAAGGTCACTTAAGGACGTGTCTTAATGTGCTTGCGTTTGTGTATGCAGGAGACAGGGTATGTTGGTGTGCTTGCCCCCTTGTGATAGCGCGGATCTCATGCCGACTTTATAGTGCTATCTCAATGAAATACCATGCCAAAGGTACCCATCACAGCATTCCGCCCGGTCACATTATACTTAAAACGGGTGAACCAGTTGTTGCCATTCCCCTAAATGCTGAACGTTAAGCATGGAATAACAATTACCATTTTTAAGGACTTTGGTATGTCCGGGCCTGTGGTCTCACCTGGGTAATCGCTCAACAGTGAGGTTTTGCCAAGCAAGACATCTGGTTCATATTCCCAGCTTTTGTAATAAAGAAGTTCTACAAATACTCTGCCAACATTCATTCAATGATGCTTGTTTTACCAGTTTTATCTTGCAATAAGCCCAAGGATCAACAAATAACTCTGACTCAAAGGGGGAGGCTTATTGAAGGACACTAGGATTGCAGAGGGGGGCTTATGAAGGATAAAAGAATTGCAGTGAGGGG